CCAGCTAGCATTTATATGGGTTTTGGGGACCCCAGGCCAGTGTTCAAGCTTGCTGTCTTCATTTGCTAACTGCTAACGCCATCTCCTTAATCCTCTCTTTTTTATTTTGAGATAGGGTCTAAGTCGTCCATGCTGGCCTTGAGCTCCCCACCCTCTGGCCTCTGAGTCCCGGGTTACAGACAGGACTGTACTGTCTTCCTGGCCAGAGGATCGGATCTTGAGACCTTGCTGGGGACAGCAGCTCAGCACTGTGCAGAAAGTACAATCGGGGTCCCTCCTACTCTCTGCCCTGGGGGACCCACAAACAAAGGGACCCGCAGAATTAGAAGACTGTCATGGTGGCCTGTCAAAGATCAGGCAGTGGCTGTGTTCAGTCCTCTCTCTTTTGTTCCCACATGCAAAGTCCCTTGTCCACTGCCCCAGCTGCCCTGTGGGACCAGCAGCTCTGTAGGAACCCCCACTTTGGCATCTGCTGAGGATTTTGTTGTGCCCTCAAAGCTACTTAGGTGCTGGAGATGGAATCTAATAGATACAATACTTGCCTGGCATGCACAAAGCCTTGGGTTCGATTGTTCCCTAACCCTGGATAAACTGGACACAGAGCTTGTATTCCAGGCCTCGGGAGGTGGAGGCAGAAAGATCAGGAGTTCAAGGTCATTCTTTTTTTTTTTTATCTTTTTCTTTCTTTCCTTTACTTTATTTATCTGTTTATTTATTCATTTATTTTGAGAGAAGGTCTCACTCTGTAGCCCTAGCTAGCCTGGAATTCTCTATGTACACAAGGCTGGCCAAAACTCACAGAGATACAACTACCTCTGCCTCCCCAGTGCTGATACAGCCACCATGCCCATCATTCAAGGTCATTCTTAGTGTATAACAAATTCCAGGCCAGCCAGAGCTAGAGACTGTCCAAAAAATTTAAAAAGCCGGATGTGGGTAGCTTACATCTCTAATTCCAGTACTCTAGAGGCAGAGGCAGGTGGATTTCTGTGAGTTTTGAGGCCAGCTTGATAACCCTCCCCCCCTGTGGTGTGTGTGTGTGTGTGTGTGTGTGTGTGTGTGTGTGTGTGTGCGCGCGCGCGCGCGCGCGCGAAGAAGGTGTTTAATTGAATGAGTCATAGCTCAGTGATAGAGTGCTTTGCCTGGCATGCACAAGGCTCTGTATTCAATCCCCAGGACTATAGAAAACCCAGTATAGCAAAATTTCCATTCTTTTGAAGCTGCTCATCAGCCACATCATCCCACTGAGTTGGGGTGGGTGGGGGAACAAGCCTTCCCCATTTCTGCCATTCATTCTCTCTCTCTCTCTCTCTCTCTCTCTCTCTCTCTCTCTCTCTCTGAGGAATCGCACCTCTCTGGAGCACCCAGAAACACACCCTCAGACAGCACACTGACACTGCTGATTGTCTTCGTTTATGTAGATTGTTCTCACATCAGCCTAATGATTGTGCTGGAGATAACACTTCTGGTTTTCCTCACGTCTGTGGAATAATCTAAAAGCACATAGTCTGGGTATGCGATAGTCCCCATTGTACCCCTCATTTCCTGAGTGATCCTGGGCCAGAGTTCAACTCTCGACAGCTCAACTCGTCTTGCAGTGAATCATTCCATCTGGTCTCCCTCTCGGAGTTGCTAGTAGTTTGAATGAGGAAGGTTACTCACTCCCAAATACCCGGTCCACCCACATCGAAGGCTTTGTGCTCCAGGTTCACAAAAAGCAAGACATTGTGTGTGTGCCTCACAAACTTTAGAATGTGGTCAGGTTGACAGGAGGTGATGTATGAAGGGCAAGCGTGTACTGAGCTCCTTAACACAGGCACTGTCAAGCGTGTTGCAGATATTACCTTTCTTACAGCAGGAGCGATGTTCTGAAGTCCCTAACGTGTCCCTGTTTTGAATGTGTGAGGACACTGAGACGTAGGCAGGTTACATCATGAGGAATAAGTGTGGTCGTAGAGTTGGCATGGCTTTGTGTCGTGTGATTCAGTGAAGGAACTGATGGGTGTGAAGGTACCTAGAACCTCTGGCCACATGATTGGTGGGGACCATCATCACCGCCATCGTTGTCATCATGGTGGCCATGACAGTTTTCTGTTGCCGTTTATCAGATATTCACAAATTCAGTGGCTTTGAAGACACTTCTTGTCACCTCCCTCCTCTGGGTCAGGAGTCCTGGCACAGCTTCACTAGGTTCTGCTCAGGGCTGTCATCAAGGTCTTATCCAGTGACTCAGCCTCACCTGGGGAAGGGCGTTCAAGGTCATTCAGCCGCTTGGCGGAATTCATGCATTCTGTTGTGCTGAAGCCCCTGGCTTCCCTCCGGCTGCTGACCAGGGCTTTCTCCAGCTCCTGGAGGCCTCTGACCTCACGGAGCCCCTTCCGGCTCAAAGTCCGCCCTCGCTTCTTTAAAGTGGACAAGGAGAAGGTCTTTAGTTTCAGCCTTCCAGCAAGGGAGGCAGCTGGTTTTGAGACAGAGACTTGATAAACTCAGATTCAAGCCTGCTGCTTCGGACTCCTGAATGTTGAAGTCACAGGCGTTCACCACATGCCCAGCAAGAGGCTGTCACTGTTTTATCTTGGCAGTGCTGGGGGACAAACCCAAGGCCTTGTCCGTACTAGGCAAGGCCTCTACCACTGAGCCCTATCGCCAGCCCCAAAGAAAGTCATATATGCTGGGGCAGCGTGGGGTGGCACCTGCCTTCTGTGCCATGTTCTGTGGGTTAGAAGGGAATCAGACGTCTGGTGCGTTACGGTTTTGTGTGTTGTGTGTCAGTATTGTGCCGGAGGCTGACATAGCAGGGCAGAGTCAACAGGGAGGAGGGTGGGGTCCCCCCCCCTGCCAAAATGTCACCGGTGGTTTTTATTCCTTGTGGGGAATACCCTGGCGGTACCTCAGGGAGAGCCAGGCAGAGGGAGTAGCAGTCGTGAATACAGATGTAGCTCAACACTGAGGGCTCTGTAACCCTGCAGGGAGGCAGAGCAGGAAGTGGAGCTGTGATGAAGTGTCCCTGGTGTCTTCAACGGTTTGGGTGTGGTGGCCCAAGCCTATAATCTGAGCAATTGGGTGGTTTGAGCAGGGGAATTGCTACAAGTTCAAGGCCAGCCTAGACTACATAATAAAATCAGGCCAGCCTGGGCCACAGAATATGAAGACTATCCCCCAAAGGAGGTGAAGGGTGGAGCTAGGTTTGTAGAGTGCTTGCCTGGTATGAGCAGGCCCTTGGCTCAGTCCCTAGCACCACACAGGCCAGGCCTCGTGGCACACACTTGTAGTCTCAGGGTGAGGAGAGGGAAACGGGAGGATCAGAATTTGACAGCACATATACTAAAACTAGAACCATACAGAGAAGATTAGCATGGCCCCTACACAAGGATGACAACCGAATTCATGAAATGTTCCTTATTTAATTTAAAAAAAAAAAAGAATTCAAGATCATCCAAAAAGAATTCAAGATCATCCTTGGCTATATATTGAGTTTTAGGCCAACCTGGGCTACTTGAGATCCTATCTCCAAAAAGCTAAACAAAAACAAAACAAAAAAATTCTATTAGGTTAAACACAAAAGCACCTCTTCTCCCTGAGCCAGACTGAACGTGAGCCACTGGGCTATGGTGCAGTCAACAGCGTGCCCTTGGGCCACAGAGCTTTTTACACATGTCCACGTGTGTTCTGAAATATCTTCATAGCTTCCATTGATTTCACCTTTTCATTTGTCTCGTTCCTGGGTCTCAAAAGTGGATGCCATTTCAGCCGCCACTTCTGTGGCTGCCTGAGTCCCTGAGGGCCAGCACTCCCTAGCTGGGTTGGCACTGAGTGTGAAGTGTGGTCCAGTGCCCTAGAGCTTGTCTGCAATGCCAGAGTAAGAGGCGGGCTTAGCTGAGCACAAGACTTCTCTCATTCCTCGGTTGCATGTAGTGTGAAGTGTGTTATTTGCTCATGGCTGAGTTTTAGCTACTGCAGAGTTGGGAAGAGTGGGATGTGTTTGTCCAAGAAGAACACTGCTAACAGAATACTCTGTGGTGGTGATCACATTCTGAGAAGAGGCAGGAACAGGATATTGGCTGACCAGAGACTCTCCCTGCCTCACACACCCCTCCTTTGCAACTGCAATTGTCAGATGAACATGCTCCTGGCTTCAGGAGTGTGTTCAGACAAATAACCACAAACCTGACTGTTAAAGCAGGAGAAATTTATTCTCTCACACTTCTGGAAGCCTTAAGTCTGCTCCCCCTGTAGTCCCAGGGGAAGGGTCTTGTCTGGTTCATAGATGTATCTCTTTAGCTGGTCCTGTGCCTGCCTTACATCTGTCTCAATCTGCCTGTCCTTCAGGACACTTGTTACTGGATTGGCTCCCATTGATCCAAGACGGCCATTTCAAGAGCCTAGCTCTAGACCCTAAAGATTCACATACACAGGCTCCAGGTCTATGGGGATGATTTGTTGTTGTTGTTGTTGCGTTTATTTGGTTTTGTTTTGTTGTGTTGTTGTTTTCTGAATATGGATGCTTTACCTGCCAGATGGCTGTGTACCATGTGCATGCAGTTCCTGTGAAAGCCAGATCTCTGAGACTAGAGTTACAGATGGTTGTAAGCTGCCATGTGGGTGCTGGGAATCAAACCCAGGTTCTTTGCTCTATGCCCATACCATTGTGTTTCTTGATTTACTATTGATGTTAGGGGGCATAAAAGCCCTTCATATTAACAGAGCGTTCACAGAGCTGCCCCATGGATCAGCCTCCCATCTCTGACCACGCCTCTGAGTTCCTGGACGGGTGGACAGCTGTGAGGATATCTGTGTATTTACCCACACTGGTTGTGGGTAACCGAGCAGGGGAGGGGTGCCTGAACTCCCCTGATGTCTCCCTGAGTAGCAGAATCATTGGCAAGCATGAAGTCTGAAATTGGGGTGAGAGCATGGGTAGAGAGGCAGACCTTGGTTTCGGAACACGGCAGCAAGTCTGACAATTGTCAGCAAGCGTGGCCCGGGGAACCCATCTTCCCGTGTTGTGAGAGCAGACTAGGGGGCGAGGAGGTGCCAAGCTCACAAGGGCCTGGTGGGCAGAGCATGGCAGCAGTGTGTAACTCTCCTTGTCACCAACCTTGGAGGTGAGCAGGAGATCTAGAAAGACTTCACAAGCTTCCTGTGTGCCAGTACCTCAGCTTAACCGACTGGGAAGTGGCTTATCTGATCCCTGAGTCTCAACTCCTGCCTCCTTGCCTCCCTGATTTGCCTGCACCCCAAAAAGGAACTTGAGGGCCTGCTGCTGGGGCTTGGTAGAGAACTGGGTTTTCCCCCACTCAGACCCCCTCCTGCTGAAAGTTCTTGATCTGAGGGGACAGGCAGGCCATTGGCTTGCAGGGGGTGGGGGATGCTGAGTGACTGGTGTCCCCCTCTCCCAGGTGGCATCTGTGGAGTATGGGCTCAGGCTCCTGTAGTCAGCAGCTGACTTTAGCTATAGATAAGGGACTGCTCTGCCCCGGGCACTGTCTCTTATCCCTTCTGCCCCTTGGTCCTCTCAGAGTCTCATTTAGGGGCAGTTTCCTAGGATCCAAGGACCAGGGTCAACAATGCATGGTTTTCTCAGCTAAAACACCCGTGGGGATTTTCCTAAGTGAGGGAAGCCCAACACCCAGGATGGAAGAGCCTTGTTATTTTATTTCTATTGTGTGGGGTGCTTCGCCTACATGTCTGTCTGTGCACCCAGCTGCATGCAGTGTCCATGAAGACCAGAAGGGGATACTGGATGTAGAGTTTAAGTCTCCATGTGGGTCCTGGAAATCAAACCTAAGTCATCTAGAAGAGCAGCTGGTTCTCTTAACCTCTGAGCCATCTCTCCAGCCCCTCCCCTTCTGATATTTTGTTAAAATTATAGAATCAATTACATTACTAGTAAAAAAAAAATCAGCTGAGGCTTGGGGGGCGGTGTAGTGTAGTTGGTAGAGTATTTGCATAAAACCAGGCATGATGGTGCACACTTGTAATCCGACAGGCACAGGCAGGAAGATTGGAAGTTCAAGGTCATTCTCAGCTGCATAGTAAATTAGAGGGAGGGGCCAGCCTGGGCTACATGAGACAGCAAAACAAAACAAAACCCAAATAATTCCTTTGTAAATGAAGGACATGGGCTGTGTCCATTTCGGCTCTTCGGCCCCAAGTGCCCAAAGCCACTATCTATCCTGGATGTCTGTCCTTCCTATCCATAGGTCTAGTTTTTGTGTATCTTTGCTGAACCTTTGGCAACCCAGGCAGACCTCCGGGGAGCATGATTGGGGTTCTAAACCTCAGTCTCAGTAAGTCTTTTGAATCCCAGTTGAGAGCTAGGCCCCATAGCAAGGGTCTGCTACAGACACTTAGGAGCTCCCTCTGCTCCAGGTCCACAGACAGACTGTTGTCTCTGCCCAGGTCTGTGCTTTGAGAGTTCTCTAAGCTGGCATGACTCTGAGCCCCAGTGTCTCCTCCCAGCCCTGCCACAGATTGCCCTGCAGGTCCTGGAGAGTGCGGAACTCTGTTGTCTTCCATGTGCTGTCTCTAACGGCTGTGAAAGCAGGCAGTTTCCTACCCTTGACAGGGTAGCCATTGTGCGGGTCAGAAGTGCAGAAAAATTGATGGAGTGAGATGAAATGCGCACGTCTCTTCCTTAAGACAAAGAATGTGAGTGCTCCTGGTCACCTGGGAAGTGCCAGCCAGCTGTGAGGTCGTTAGTGTGATGGTGGTGAGAACCATGGGGTATTCAGAGTTGGGTGGTAGGAGATAAGTTGGCCTGGCAAATCACCCCAGGCCGGGGTCTGTTCCCTGCCAGAGACACTCAGCCCATGGCATTGGCCTTGCTACAAGGAGGAGCTCTTACCACCAAGAACCCTCCAAGCTGAGGGTCACATGAGTAACTCTAGGTGAATTCTACAGAAGGTAAGGGGTTTTCAGAGGATCAGAGCAGTTTCTCTACCGCAGGACTGTTGATATTTAGAATATAGTCCTTGTTTGTGGGGGACTGTCCCGCATGCTAGGATGCTGAACATCTCCGGCCTCTACCCAGTGCAGCAAGCACGTATATATTTTCAGACATTGCCAAAGCCCCTGAGGGGACAGATTGTCCTGTGCTGGACAACTCTGGGTCAGAGACTTCAGCAGTAGTCTTTCTGGGACCACTGCTCAATGCCTGAAGTAGCCACTCACTTGTTACAGCTTCTTTTGTTCCTTCCCAAAAAGCTGACCTCATTGGCTCGGAGGGGTGTTTCGTTGACTCACCATCTGTAACCACAAGCAGCCTTCCTTCTTGGGGAGATCCCAGATGACTTATCATGGGACTCGGTATGTAAATGCATAATTCTAGTTTTTGCTAAATCGAAGCTGGTAAACAGCCCCCCCCCCCACACACACATACACTTCTCTTTTAGCCCAGCTTAGGGCATGCTGAGCTATACCTTTGCCTTGAGGTTTTCTGCAGGCAATAAGCATTCTGAGCTCACTGGTTTGGGCCCTAGCCCAGGGGGTGGTAGATGATGTAAGAGCAGGAAAGTCTGAAGTTGGTAGGGATCGTGGGGTTTTCTTTTAGACCTTTGATCCAGGGAGTGGTGTGAAAGGAAGGCAGAAGCCAGACTATGAGAAAAGAGGGGTGAGAGTCCCAGCTGGACCACAGGGACTCTGCCCAGGGTACTGACCGAGTGTGGACCCCTGGCTCCTCGAACAAGGCCTGCTGTGCTTGTCACTTCCTCTTGGGATAGCAGAGTGTAGGTGTTGGCTTTAGTTGAGGCTTTGTAAAGTGGGAGACAGGCACACCCTGAGTGAGGTCTCAGACCTGCCCGGCCACACCCAGCAGCAGGCAGCTGTCTCCTGGTGCCAGGGCTCTGTGAATTTCATCACTGTTCCTCCCTGCTCCTTCCTCTGCCTCTGCTACCACAGGAAAACGGGCTCTGCTTTTCTGGTTTGAGTCTTATAGTTTGGAATCCACCCTGCGTCTAGTGAGAAAGCCTGCGTGTCCTACAGTTTCCCCACTCACTCTCACTGTTTCTGCTGTGACTCTCAAAGAGACTCCCCTTCTGTGGCCAGCTCAGAAGCACATGGTCAGAACCCAAGAGTCAGACGTCCAGCTGGCTTCATTGCAGACACTGTGTCTGTGACCTTCCACCCAGACAGGGCTGTGTGTTCAGATGCTCCCATTGGCTTAGGCCTGCCAGGCATAGGGGTCAGAGGGTGGAAGGGAAGAGAAGCGAAATCTGCCTGCTCAGGCCTCTTGGTCCTGAGTAACAAGGAAATTGCCAATGGTGCTACCAGCCCTAGTGGCCCTGGCCCCCGCTATGGTCATCAGTACCCTGGTGAATCCATGAAACCAGGCCATGCCCGTAACAAACTGGCAACACCCAAGAACCCAGGTGTTATTATCGAAGGCAAAGGGATAGGTGGGCCCTGTGTGCTCAGGGCAGAGTCTGGGGGAGGAAGCTGGCACAGCTAACAGTGGCTCTGTGCTCCTGGAGGCGGCTGCCTCTGCCTTTTCACGTCCATGGTCAACTCCGAGTCTTGGGGGTTCCAGTGTCTGGGGTAGACCGAGTCAGCCCATGGATGGACAGCGAAACTGCTTTCTCCAACTAGAGAAAGAGATAAAGCAGGCCTGAGATTTGGCCCTGACCATGGCCAGGCACTGCTCTGGGCCCCACCCAGCCTCACCCCCATGACTGACTGGACAGGGGACTGGACAGGCGGGCTCAGGTGTGGGGACTGGGGATTTTCCTCCCTCTCTCTCCTTCCCCCTTCCCCTTTGTTCTGTTCTTTCTCTGCTGGCATTTGGGTTAGCGTCCCGATGACTCATGGGAGATGTTCTAGTGCCTGCTTCCCTGGGCATAGAGGCTGTGGGGGAAGGGACAAGGGACAGGTGAGTGCACACCTCTGGAGGGCCCAGGTAGCTCCTGGCAGTGGGCCCAGCTCCTAGCATCTGTGCCAGGCCTGAGGGGGCAGTGAGCTGAGCAGGTCAGACAGGTGGAGCCAGCTGGCCTGGCTGCCCATCCCCAGCCGCACAGGCCCTCTGTGGGTTTCCTGAACAGAGCACCACCCTTTTCTTTCCCCCACTGCCTGAGGTCCCTGGCACCTCCAGGGACCATTTACAGCATCTGAAAAGGGTGTTGGGAGTGGGGAATGGATCATGGATTTGCTTGGAGAGACACCGTTTGGGTTCAAGTGTGGAAACGTGATCTTGGCTTTGGAGAAGCACTTTTCCGGTTTTCAGGCCCTTGGTTCTGAGATACAGATTTTACAAGGAGCCCAACTGTTGAGTGACAAATTGAGGAGACAGATCCAGAAACCTTAGGGAGATTTGTCCCCAGAAGAGAACTTGTGGACGTTATATTGGGTGATGTGCCTCCGCTCAGCGCCAGCACCTGGCCTCGTGGGGTGACCCTCTTGGGCTTCTGTAGGGGGAGGGACTAGACTCGCTCAAACAAACACAAACTACAGACACTTATTGGGGGATCCTCCTTTGCCACCATTTCAGGTGGCCCTGTCTCCTCCCCCGTGATTCTCTCTCCTTGCTGAAGGCCGAATCTCAGCCAGTCTCTGCTTCTCCAGACACAGTCTCTGGAGATGTTGGGCTGGCGACAGGGGTTGGGAATGGGGCTCAGTTTCAGCAGAAAACTAGCTCATGGTGCCTCCCCTAAAACTGAATGGCTGTGTCTACCTGGGAATCCTGCACTGGGATTGTGTGTACAATCTTCCTCTCAACAGGTCACACCCTATCTGCCAGTTTCCTGGAGCATCCCCATCCACAGGCCATGTTGTGAGGGAGAAGAACCTCTTAGTGACGGTCAACACCAAGAACAGATGTTGGGTTTATGCTGTTATTGTTATTTGGTGAGTTTTGGTTTGTTTGTTTGTTTGTTTGTTTGTTTGTTTGTTTTGAGGACAGGGATCTACTTTGTAGCTCAGGCTGGTTTGGAACTCACTCAGTAGCCTAGGCTAGCCTTGAACTTGTGACACCCTTCCTGCCTCAGCCTCCCAGGAGTTGGAATTACGGATGTGCACAACTGTGTCAGCTAGAGCAGAGATGATCAAAACTTGCCTTGCACAGTCTGCTGCAGACAGGGGGCAGCAGTTTTTTGCTTTGTGTTTGTTGTTTTCTTTTGTTTTTCTGCTAACTGAGCTCTTTGTGATGAGAGCTTTTTTTGAGGTTGGGTTCAAACTGGTCGATCCTCCCGCCTTCGCCTCCAAAACAGCTGCGTGGCAAGTAGGCAGGTCGCCACCGTGTGCTTGGCATAAACTAACTCATCTCTCTCCCTTTCTCTCACCCGACTCCGGGCCTAAGGCCTCAGGCATGCTAGCTCAGCCACTGAGCGACACTCCGGCCTACACATTCATTTCATAAAGAAGGCCAGAAGTAGAAGAACTCTGTGGTTCTGTGGTGTCTCCTTGAGTCATCTTCAAGTTCTGCCCCTTGTTCCTGCCAGCCCCACCTTCGCCAGGTCTTTCTGGTCTCTCTGTAGATAGGTGGAAACGTTTCCCCGAAGTCTAAAGACGTTTCCATACATCTCATTGACTAGAATTCTAATTCACGCCCAGCCCCAAGCCTGTCAGCATGGAGGGAAGGTGTTAGCAACAGTGTTGTGACCAATGTGAGTGTGGGTACCAAGGAGGCCAGAAGAGAAGGTATGGATCTGCCGGAGCTTCAGTGACTGGCGCTTGTGAACTGCTTGACATCAGAGCTGGAACCGAACCTGGGTCCTCTAGAAGAGAAGCGAATGCTCTTAACTACTGAGTCCTTGAGTTTGGTGTTTTGATTTGTAAGGTTAGCATGCAAGGTGATTCTGCATATTCATACCTATGTGTCATTCTACTGTGTTCTCCTTCCCGCCCCTCCCCTCCCCTCCCTGCCCCGCCCCCAGCCCCCTCTTGGTTTCTCTTCCTCCCCCCAGTCAGGCCCTTCTGCTTTCTTATGTCATGTACTCCATGGCTACCTCTGTTTCTCCGTTAAGACCTCCTCCCCTTCTGCTCCCCTTCCTAGCTTTGTGGACCCTCCACACATACAGACAGATGTATTTTAAACATAGGTTCTACACAGAAGAAACATGCAGTATTTGCCTGCGACGGGCTGATGTTGTTTAACATAATGATTTCCAGTTGCATCCATTTTCCTGCCGGTGTCACGATTTAATTTTTTTTTTTTTTTTTTTTTTTTTTTTTTGATGGCTGCATAAAATCACCCTGGAAAGCCAGGTGTGGTGGTGAGCTCCTTTAATCCAGCACTCAGGAAGCAGGCAGGAGGATCTCTGTGAGTTCGAGGCCAGCCTGGTCTACATAATGAGTTCCAGGACAGCCAAGGCTATGTAGGGAGACCATGTTTTTTTTAAAAACAAAAAAATCCATCATGTATACGTACCACATTTTATTTTCTCTCTCTCTCTCTCTCTCTCTCTCTCTCTCTCTCTCTCTCTCTCTCTCTCTCTCAGGTTCTTCAAGACAGGGTTTCCTGGAACTCACTCTGTAGACCACATTTTCTTTACCCATTCATTTCTCTATGCATGAACATCTATTCCGGTTCCACTGTCTGGCGACTGTGAACAGGGCAGCAGTGACCGTGGTTGTACAAAAGTCTCTCTGATAGGGTAGAGTCCTCTGGGTTACACCCTCTGGGTATGTATCTGGGTCATATGGGACCTCTATTTTTAGTTTTTGAGGAACCTCCATACTGACTTCCATAGTGTCTGCTCCCTCCTCATAAGATGCTCAGACAGCATGGCCTGTTCTTAATCTTCCGCTGTGCAGAGGAACCTTTCTTTCCCGTAAGGGCCTTTCCTCTCTTCCCCTCTTCTCCTCCTCCCCCCTTTCCTTCCTTCTGCTTTTTCCTTGATTAACCATCCAGTGTTGGCTACTTAACACCCCGTCTGTTAGACCCAGTAAGGGCTGAGGCTGGAGAGATGGCTTGGTGGTTAAGAGCACTTGTTACTCTCGCAGAGGACCTGGGTTTGGTCCCCAACACCCGTATGACAGCTCACAGCCATCTCTAAGTCCAGTTCCAGAGGAGCCAGGTCTTCTTCTGGCCTCCACAGAACTGCACGGGCATGGCACACATACATGCATGCAGGCAAAACACTCAATGCACAAAAATGTTTGGAAAAGAGCCAGTAGAGGAAAACATGAAATCCTAAATACCAAGGATGTGGGCAATTGAGTGCCCAGCTCCCCTAGAGCAGAGGCCACCCCAGAAGCCAGGATGTCATCTGCCGTTGCCAGGGTCCGCCTTGGGGACCAGTGCAGGGGCAGGTATTGAACACTTGCTCTTTTCTCCTGGGAAGCGCAGACAGCTCCTGCCGTGCCCAGTCTGGCAGCAGACAGTGGTGCCTCCTCAGAGTGCTGTTCCAGAAAGCAAGCCTGAGGTCTTTGTTGTTTCCACATGTAGCCCAAGGTGGCCTTGAACTTGCCTGGATCTTCCTGCCTCTCTGTTCTGAGTCCTGGCATTACAGGCATGTGCTCTCACACTCTCCTCTGAGCCTGATTTTTTTTTTCTTAGATGTTTTTAAAACTTAATATGTGTGACTTTCCTGCCTGTATGCCTGTGTACCGCATGCAATCCTGGTACCTGTGGAAGTCAGAAAAGGGTGTCAGATCCCTCCAGGACTTAAGGATGGTCATGAGCTACCATGTGGGCGATGGGAACTGAACTCAGGTCCTCTGAAAGAACAATACATGTTCTTTAACTGCTGAGCTATCTCTCCAGCCTCACTAACGGAATTTTTGAGGTTCACAACTTCCAAGTTGGTCTTCTAGGAGAGAGGTGATCAGCAGTTAAGAGCACCAAGTCCGTCTTCTTGAGGCCCACCTCTAATACCCCCGTTCCTGGGCCAAGCTTCTCTCTGTTGTCTCCAGCAGGATGGACAGGGGTCAGCTACAGCAGTGGACCCAGGTCTCTGCCCCCACAGCCACCACTGTTGTGCCTGAGTCGCAAGACCCCTTCCAACACCCCTACCCCCACCCCACCCCCGAGCAAGACCACCACAGAGCTGCTATCCGATGCAAAACACACAGGGGTTATTGATAACAAGCAAGCCCGGGCTTGGTCTGTGTCCAACACTTGACACAGTGGGTGGAGGAGGACGGCCCTGAGCTCTCCGAGTGAGGGGTTTTTAAAGGGAAAAACCACAAGCAGGGTGGGATAAGCCTTTGCATCCTATGATTGGGTGAGGGTATGTGGCCTTTGAATTTACTGGTTGGGGTTACAGTTATCATTTTGGGGCAGGCCCAGGCTTTGTCCTTGAGCTGCCGTGGGGGCTGGCTGGCCTCGCACGTTCCCCTTGACCCGTGCACGTAGCTCTAAGTTGGTGAGGGGTCCCAGACAGTAAACAACCGGCTGAACCTTGTGCAGTCAGAGGACGTGCAGAAAGGGAGCGACTGCAGGAACTATGTCTTTTGTTCATAGCCCTCCCAGAAACTGCTTGCTCGAGTCTCAGGAAGCTGAGATTGAGGCCTGATCTCTGAGAGAAGACTGACAGCCTGTTATGGCGTCTGCTGGGTCCCTTGAACCGCCACCTTCCCAGTCACCGGCCAGCCTTTCCCATGGCATCTGTGTAAGGACAAAGCAATTCCTTCGAGCTCTGTCACGGCAAAGTCCAAGAGGATGTGGGAAGTGTGGTCAGAGCCACGGTGGTCATCCTCAGCGCTGGCCTCCTTCCAAGTTGGGTGCTTCAAGCTCTTGTCCTGTGGTCCCCAGAGCAAGGGAAAGGAGCATGGCTTCAAGACACTAAAAAGAGAAGGCCGTAGCCCAGCCTCACCCGGTCGCTCTCGTGAATGTGGCTTTTCTTCTGGAGGCCACCTCTGTGACCCCACCTCAGCCAAGCCTCATCAGGGGACATTAACGTGGCCTCTGCATTCCCACACATGGCCTGCGTGGGGGGAGGGGGGTGTCTCACAGGCTTCAGTTTCTCACACAGATGGTGCCACCTGGGCTGTCTTGCTGGGTCAGGTGACTGCCATGAGGCTCCTCCCATGGTGCAATTTTGTTTTGCTCTTTTATTTTTTTAAGGCAGTCTCATGTAACTGAGGCTGTCCTCCTGCCTCCACCTCTTAATCACTGGGATGACAAGTATAAGACACCATGCTAGGCTCCTTTTTAAAAATTTTCATTCATTCATTTATTCATTCATTCATTCACTTTGTGTGTATGCATGTGTGTATGGGTGCATGTGTGTAGAGATCAGAGGACAGCTTCTGGGAATGGGCTCTTTCTATTTATCATGTGGATCCAGGGATCAAATCCAGGTTGTCAGGCTTGGCAGGAGACACCCTTGCCTGCTGAGACAAAGTCCTGGTATAGAAAGCAGGCTGGCCTCAGACTCCAGCTCTTCTTGCCTCAGCCAGACTCTAGGGATATGATCATGCGCTGGACTCCACTCTGTGTCTGGCATTACACTGTGAAGTGCTGTTGGGGGATGTCCCGAGCCTGATCCTCTCTCGTTGGGTGGTAGCTAGAGGGTCAACACCAGGGACAACTCGGAGAACAGTGACCCACACACTGAGGAGCAAGGTGGAGCTGGGGAAGACAGAGCCACTCATGGGCCATCGAGCACCATGGGCCCAAGCTGGTGGGGACCTCGCTCACTTTCCCCTCCCATCTCCACGTGCTATTTACTGAAGCCCACGGAGGCCATTTAGTGCTGTCTATACATGCATGGGTGAAGGATCATTTGCTGGAGCACAGGCAACCTCTCAGGGACCATATCCCCGAAGAGCCTGATACCCGCTCACCCTCAGCAGCCGTCAATGACCAGTAGCTCCTCAGCTGGAATAGGACTTCATGAGCCCCTCCCCGTCCATGCTGGGGTTTTGGCTGGCTGTCTTTGTACAGGACTTGTGAATGTAGTCACAGCCACTGAGTTAATGTGTGCAATGGCCCTGTAACGACCTGCAAACACTGTTTCACTGAAGACATTCCCTACCACCAACTCTTACCATCCCTTTGCCCCGCCCCCTCCCGAGACAATCCCTGAGTCTTGAGTATGATTGTGATATGGATGTCACATTTAGGGTTGAACATTACACAGCCTTATTCTCTGCACACTGTCCAGTTGTGGGTCTCTGTTAATTTCCATCGACCACAAAAAGCAGATTCTCTGATGGGGGTTGAGAGATGCGCTAATCTGGATCTTTTTTGTTTACAGTTCTGGGAATGAAACCCAAGGTCTCAAGCCAAGCCAGGGCTCCACCAGCTGAACGACTGCCCTGGCCCAGTCACTGGATCTTAAGGCAGCCTGTAGGTAATGGTCAGTTTTCTGTGTAACTGGAGATGGGAGTCCAAGGCGATCCACCCCAACATCGGCCTGGGTGTTGCTGTGGAAGACTCCAACTTCCTGAGTCACTCACTATCTTGAAATAAGGGTATCCTCACCCTTAGATTGTGGGCGGGCTTCATCTAATCACTTATGGAGCGTATGAGGTTTCCCTGGAGAAGAATCACTTCCCATTGACCCCAGGGTCCGCTCTTCAGGCCTAACCAGCCCCGCTGGTCATTTGGGTTTGGTTGGGGGAAGGTTGCTGTTGTTTTACATTTCTTTGTTTGTTTGTTTGGGAGGGCAGGGGTGGGAGGGTGGGGTGGGGGAGGGAGTGTAGCATGTGTGTGGAGGTCAGAGCACAGCTTGCAGGAGTCAGTTCTCTCCTTTCTGACATATGGGTTCTGGGGACTGAACTCAGGTCATCATGCTTAGTAGTAAGTGCCTTTACCTGCTGACCTGTTTTACTGGCCCACTTTACTTATTTTTAATGTGCATAAGTGTGTTACCTGATGTATATACACCGTGTGTGTGTGTGTGTGTGTGTGTGTGTGTGTGTGTGTGTGTGTGTGCCTGATGCCCCCAGAGGCCAGAGGAGGGCATCAGATTCCCTGTGACTGGAGTTACAGATGGTTACGAGCTGATGTGTGGATGCTCAGAACTGAACCTGAGTCCTCTGCAAGAGCAGCAAGTGCTCTTAACCACTGGGCCACCTCTCCAGCCTCCTGTTTTTGTTTTCTTTAGTCTCACTATATTGCCCAGACTGGTCTCGAACCCCTGAACTCAAAGGAACCTCCTGACTTAGCCTCCTAGTGGAAGTTGGAAGGAGTTCCTGAACATCTCCTGGTGGTGCTGGCCCTCGAGCTGAACTCTGACTAGTCAGTGTGTCCTCTGTGGGTGCTAGGACAGGGAGGCACTAGTGCATGCTGCTGGTCCCCCACCACCCCACCCTCTGTGCCAGCACACTGACTTCAAAGTGCTGGAGGAGCCTGTTGTGCCTTGTAGGGTCTGTTGCACAGCTCAGCTTTCTCCCGTAGCCTCCCTGTCCTCCTGCAACTTCGGGTCATTTTGTGCCTGTCCACGGATCTCCACTTTGTGCCTGTCTGCAGATCCTCACTTCTTGCCTGTCCATGGATCTCCACTTTGTGCCTGTCTGCAGATCCTCACTTCTTGCCTGTCCATGGATCTCCACTTTGTGCCTGTCTGCAGACCCTCACTTTGTGCCTATCTGCAGATCTTCACTTCGTGCCTGTCTGCCGATGCCCAGCCCAGCAGGCCAGCTGTGAGTGCTTCTTTGGCAGTGTCTTAGCTGGTTGTTGTGAGTACTAGTGAAGGAAGCAATCAGCAAGTATACTGCCCTAGAAGTGCTGCACGTTATTGGGCCAAGAAGGAAGGAAAAAGGTGAGAGATGCCCAGACCTTCGAGAGGTACCAGGACTTTGCAAACTGGTAGGTAAGGGCTTCTGGGGGAGGCAGGCTTTAGCACCCTCAAGAGAAGCGTGTTTAGGGGTGTTGAGTGGCAGGGGGAGGCACAGGGACTGGGGTATAAGCTGCTTCTGACTGAGAGAAGGCTGCATGTAGAGGTAGTAATTAGAGCATTTATGAGGCATGTATGTTGTAGGTTTATCTTCCTAGCCAAGCGGCTGCCCTCTTGTGGAATTCAGCTGGACCCCCTTGCAAAAGGGTTATTCCAGCTGGGGTTGACTATTCACACTTCCACAAGGAGGGCTGAGGAGGGTCACAAGACCCTCACCTGAGTATCCAGCTGCTCCCTTCCACCTGCTCTATGCAACCCTGCCTTAAGTGCACGTGGCCTCAGGGAGAGGCTAGACTGTATAGGCTGGGGAAGGCTGGATAAGGCTGGGGGAGCAGGGTGGGGGGGGGAGGGGCTGCCATCTGTGCAGCTACTGGGTAAAGGCTTTCCACATGCAGTCGGTTGGGGAGGCACACCCACACTTTAGTTGCAGCAGCAGCAGCAGCAGCCACAGTCGCAGCAGCCGCAGCAGCAGCCGCCTCCCTCTGTGGCCCGTCATCGGGTGCCTTTCCGCTGTCAGCAATGCGACATGTGCACCCCTTAAAGGTGCCTGCCAGGCGCATCTCGCTCTCTTTGCCTCTTCTTTCTTCTCTCTCTCTTTTTTGGCTTTTCTAGGCAGGGTTTCTCCGTGTAGTTTTGGCGCCTGTCCTGGATCTTGTTCTCTAGCCCAGGCTGGCCTTGAACTCACAGAGATCCACCTGCCTCTGCCTCCCGAGTGCTGGGGTTAAAGGTATGCATCACCACCCGGCTTTCTTTCTTCTCTTGCCTCTTCTTTTCTCTCTTGCCTTCCTTCCCTGTTCCCTGTCTGTCTGTCTGCCTGCCTCACTCATGTCCCCACTCCAACACGGCCTTTCTCTTCCCCCTCCCCCAATAAACCTCTTACACTAACTGTTTCGACTGGCATGTTTGCTTAGTGGAATACCTTGGCAGGGCCCGCCGAAAGATACCCGCTTTGCCATTTCCTTACTTATCACACACCCCTGTAAGTAACCCCTCATCTATGTGCCCAATAAACTCTTTGGTATCCCAGAGCACCCTTGGCACAGTCATGCCTGGGTTTGCCTTTGCGGCCCTAGGAGGTGGGGTAGATGTTGCTTACATCCCTGGGAAGGGATTTTAGCAATAGCATATATACTAGTTGTGAAGCTCCATGCTCAGTGCCCCAACCACATTCCCTAGGAGCAAGGGTCTGCTGTGATCTGCATCTTACAGAGAGAAACACAGAGGGTCCAACAGGAAGGGTGGCTAAGGGCGCAGATCGCAGTGAGGGACTGAGTACAGAGTCTAGGCCTCCAGGGGCTGTCCCTGGCGATGGGCCCAGGGCTCAGATCTGCCTTGCTGAGTGAACCCGTGTTGGCTCTTCTCATGGCATATTTAAAATGCATCTCAGAGAACCTGGATGAGTCAGGCATGGTGGCTTAGGCCTGCAATCCCAGCATTCAAGAGGATCACTAGTTGAAGGTCAGCCTGAGCTATACAGTGTGAAACCCTCAAAAAAAAAAAAAAGACCAAAACAAAACAAAAAAACGTTCCTGGTTCAAGTTTTCCTTTTCAGCCAAAGCCAGTCCAAGAATGCTGATGGCTTTGAGGCCCCTGGGGGTAACCTCTGCCATTTGGGGTCTAACCTTAGACTGAACATCCTTGGAAGAAAAATACCCCTCTCTTCTCTCTCCATTGTTTCTTCAGTTATTTATTTCTTCTTCTTGTGTATGTGGGGTGCTGAATGTCTTCCATGGCTCATGTGTGGGATCAGAGGGCAGCTGTATGATGTGAACTTTTTCTCCTTTCACCTCTGCGTGGGTTCCGACCAGTCGGCACGCAGGTCAGGCTTGTGTGTCAAGAACCTTTACCACTGAACCATCCATCCCTGTGGCTCTCTGGTTTCTAGAGACAGGTCTCACGGTGTAGCCCTGATTAGCCTGCAACTTGTCATGGAGACCAGGTTGACCTCAAACTTGAAGCAATCCTCCTGTCTCAGCCTCCCAATGCTGGGACTGCAGGCACATGTCATCACACCCGTCCCCTCCCTGTCTCCTAATGTCAAGGGGGAGTTGTAGCCCGCCCTTCAGCAAGCCCCTCCACACAGGAATTGTTCTTGTCCCTGAATAGACCTTTGCGCTGAGGCCGCCTTCAGAGAGGGCCCCTTTGTAATGAGGCCGGGCGGATGGACCATGCTCCCCAGCCCTGGGGAAGCAGGCGTGGGCTGAAGTGGGGCTGAAGAAATGTCAGGAATGCCGAGTAGTGACAAGAAACCTCAGAGTCCTCCAGGAGGCTTGCCTGCGGGCGCACATGAAGGAACCTCCAGCACAGTCTTCACATTTTTTCAGTTTTCCCGCAGAAGTCAAGAATGTCTGACCCTCCCCCTCCCGCCCCCCCAGCAGTTGACTGGCCCTGGACTTGTAAATTAAAGGGGCCCCACTCTGGCTTCTGGTGGGTATTATCTTGAATTCAAGTGAAGTCATTTTCAAGAAACTTCTTTTTCAGCCCAGCTTGGCTTTTATTTGTGCCAACAGAACAACAAGAAAAATGGTCCCTTTTAGGGAGAATTCACCTGCAAAAAAATGCCTGGATTGTTGGCTATGGTGGCACACACCTTTATTCACAGCCTCTGGAGGCAGAAGCAGGTGGATCTCTGTAAGTTCAAGGCCTGCCTGAACTATGTATAGCGAGCTCCAGGTCTGCTCAAGCTACACAGTGAGACCCTGTCTAAATAAATAAGAAAGTTTCTTAAATGTCGAGACAACAAGGACTCAGAAGTGGCAGCTTGGTGGGGTGGTTCATACCTGTAATTCCAGCACTTGAGGGGCTGGAGGCAGGAGGACCAGTGCAAAGTCAACTGGGGTTACATGAGACCCTATCTCAAAAACCAAAAAAGCAGGCCTGGAGAGGTGGCTCAATGGTTACTGCTTTCCCAGAGGACCTGGGTTCAGTTGCTGGCACCCACATGGTGGCTCACAGCCATTTGTAACTCCAGTTCAAGGGGATCTGATGCCCTCTTCTGGCCTCCATGAATATTGCATGCATGTGTGCACACACATGCAGAGAAAACTCTCATGCACATAAAATCATAAAGCAATCACTAAAAAGTTTTAAAAATAACAGAAAAGTAATATGTGAGTGTTAGTTTGTTTAGTGCTGGGTGTTGAGTCCAGGGCTCAGTCGTGCTAAGTAGCTCTGCGCCCCCATATGCAGAGCTCCCGGGCCCCTGTGACGTCTTTGAGACATAGTTGGTGCTGGTGTAAGAAGGTCACGCTAGAGGAAGCTGGACGGCGGGCAGGTGTGCAAGCTCCGTACTGTTCTGTGTTCTAAGATTATTCCAAAATAAAAATGTTTATTAAAAGCAAAAATGAGTATCTGTGCATTTGTGAACACACATCTTTATACCTGAATACATCTATACCCCTTAGGCCCTTAAAGAATTCCCTGTCTTGCTGGGCGGTGATGGCACACACCTTTAATCCCAGCACTCAGGAGGCAGAGGCAGGCGGATCTCTGTGAGTTCAAGGCCAGCCTGGTCTACAAAGCGAATTCCAGGAAAGGCGCAAAG